ATGTTTGTCCTGTGTCTATTGAGATGATCACGAGGTCATGAAGTATATTCCTCTTTTTATTGCTACAGTGTTTTACATTGATTTTCATATGTTGCACCACCCTTGCATTACTAGGTTATATTCCACTCGATCATGGTATATAATCACTTTAATATGCTGCTGAATTCATTTTGCTAGTTTTGAATCATAAGTGATATTGTTCTATAATTTTCTGGTGATGTCTTTGTCTGGCTTTTGGTACCAGTGTAGTAACTGGCTTCATAGAATAAGTTAGGAATGTTTCCTTCTCCTCATTCTTCGTTTTTTGGAAGAGTTTGAGTATTTGTATTGATTGCTCCTTAAACATTCAGTAGAATTCACTAGTGAAGCCATCTGGTCCTCAGATTTTCTTTGTTGGGAGATTTTTGATACAGATACAGTCTCTTTTTACCACTCTGTTGAGATTTTCTATTTCTTGAGTCAGTTTCGGTAGTTGGGTGTTACTAGGAATTTGTCCATTTTATCCAATTTGTTGGTGTACAGTCATTCATAATATTCCTTTATAAACCTGCTCATTTCTGCAGGGTTAGTAGTAATGTCCCTTCTTTCATTTTTGATTTTAGTAATTTGATTCCTCTCTTTTTTCTTGGTTTAGTCAAAGGATCGTCATATTTGTTGATCTGTTCAAAGAAACAACTTTTGATTTTGTTAATTTTCTCCATTTTCCCTCCATTTTCTATTTTATTTATCTTTAATCTTTACTATTTCTTTCCCCTGCTTGCTTTAGGTTCAGTTTCTTGTTTTTCTAGCTTCTTAAGGTAGAAAGTTAGGTTATTGATTTGAGATCTTTCTTGTTTTTAATGTAGATGTTTATAGCTATAAATTTCTCTCTAAGCTCTGCTTTCTCTTCGTCCCATAAGTTTTGGTAGGTTGCATTTTCATAATCTTACTTTTGGATTTCCCTTTTGCTTTCTTCTTTACTCACTGATGAGTAGGAGTGTTTAATTTTCACGTTTGTGAGTTTTTAAATTTCCTTTTGTTATTGATTTCTAATTTCATTCCACTGTGTTTGGAGAATGTTTGCATGATTTCACTCTTTTTAAATTTATTGAGATTTGTTTTGGGGTTGAACATAAGGTTTGTCCTAGAGGATGTTCCAGGTTTACATGAATAGAATGTGTAACCTGTTGTTGCTGGGTGGAGTGTTCTATAATGTGCTAGTTTTAGTTGGTTTATAGTGTTGGTCTAGTCTTCCACTTCCTTATTGACTTCCTATCTAGTTTCTCTACGTGTTAACTTAACATCTTAACCTGAACAGTCTAGTTCAGATTAATGCCGACTTAATGTCAGTAACACACAAAAGCTTTGCTTCTACGTAGCTTTGCATCCATCTCCCTATGTTGTGCTGTCCTTGTCGTACAAGTTACAGCTTCTACATCGTGTGCTTGTCAGTACAGATTTGTAATTATTACCTTACACAGTTGTATTTCAAAGTAGATAGGAGAAAAAAAAGAAACACTTATTATATTTATTATAATATTACAAATAAACATTTATTCCTGCTTTTATATTCACCTATGTAGTTACCTTTACTGATGCTCTTCCTTTCTTCACGTGAGTGTGAGTTATTGTCTGGTATCCTTTCATTTCAACCTGAAAGACTCCCTGTAGGATTTCTTGTAGGGCAGGTTTGTTGGCAGCACACATTCTTTTAGGTATTGTTTGTCTGGCAGGGTCTTAATTTCTCCTTCATTTTCAAAGGATAGTTTTGGTGGATGTCGACTTCTTCGATGGACAGTCTTGTGTTTTAGCACTGTGGATATATTCATACCCTGCCTGCTGGCCTCCGTGGTTTCTAAAGAGAAGTCAGCTGTTAATCGTATGGAGGATCCTTTGTCCATGATGAGTCACTTCTCTCTCGCTGCTTTTTAAGATTCTCTCTTTGTCTTTGTCTTTCAGCAGTGTGACATCCCTGTTATGATTATAACAGGATGTTATAATTTTAAAGATCTGTTAATCTCATTACCAAAATTTCATCATATCATTTTAAGGTGCTTGCTGCTTTCTGCCCTGCTCCCGTGAAGGGCTGGGCTGGTGTCCACACCCAGGCTGAGAGGTGGGCTGAGGTTTCCTTGGGTGGGGGTCAAGCACCTTCACCCCCACTTAGTGCCGTGCACCTGTGAACGTGGTGGGACCTCTTCCTGGAACGAGGCTGCAGCCTGTCTTAATCATCCTGCATCATCACTCACACTGTCCTGTGTGTCAGCTTGGGCACAGTGTAGTCACAGTCAGTCAGTCATTTGATACCCTCATGTTGGTCTTTTAACAGGTAGCAACTGGGAAGTGGAAGCAGATAAGTAGATACTGTCCCCTTGATCTCTACTCAGGGTAAGAGAACCCTTCTCGTTTGCCCCCTTGCTCCTGGAGGTGGGGACAGTGCTGGGTGGTGGGATGTCCTGTGAAGCGGGGATGGGAGGGGGGTGTTCTGTGAGGCTGGGACGGTGGGGGGTGTTCTGTGAGGGGAGATGGTGGCATGTTTCGTGAGGTGGGGATGGTGGTGGGTCTTCTGTGAGCTGGGGCAGTGATGGGGGCATTTCTGTGAGGAAGGGACAGGGGCCCCACTCTGTCTTCAGGCTCTCCTTTGCCATCAGTGTCATAGATACCCCGTTCTTTGGACTTTGTCTTTGTGATCCCAGCTGGAGGTAGCTGCTGACTTGCTGGTTTTTCCCTGCCTGCAGGCAGCCCACGGCCCAGTCCTGCCCAGAGCGTGTGTGGGCAGGAGGCAGTGGTGGCAGGGAGCTGGGGCGTCAGCAGTGGGGAGTGGGGGCAGCGATCAGGCCCAGGCAGAGGGGACAGGAAATGTAGGGAGGCAGCGCCTGGGTGACCCCCCAGCCCTGCTCCCACCTAGGTTGCCTGCTTGTCCCCAGGCTGCTGCAGGTGTGTGAGTCTTTGCAATACTTTCTGATGAGCACGGCCCTTCTTTGCAGCCTCTTTCCCCTCCTGGGACCCAGGCTCCTGCAGAGCTGTCTGGTGGGTCTGGTTTTTCACACTCGCTCTGTTGGTTTCTCCTCTTTTTCCTTCCAGCCTTCCCTCTGCTCCCTCTCTGCCTGTTTATTCCTTTGTGCAGCCTTTCTGTATGCTCAACACTAACTAACTGAGCACACACCTGGTCATCACTTCAGTGCTTTTGGTTAGATGCTGTTGTAAACCTTCCAGAGCAAAGATCAGACACAAAGTGGTCTTTGGTATTTCAGGGCCGCGTGTTGGGGCTGCTCATGTAGGAAACACAGAACGTTGCTCAGTGTTTCATGTGGAAACAAGGTGACTGGTGCTTTAACCTGTAAATCACATGTTGATTTACCTGTGTGCCTAAAAGCTGTGAGTTCTGAAGCAGTCAGTAATGAAGATTCATTGTTGAGCATTTATGATGTGTCAGAACATAAGGAGGGGCTTTCTGGGTGTGCTGTAGAGTGCGGCCTTTTCAGAATTGACCTCAAAAAGCTTGCGCTTGCCCATTTGCTGTCCCCTCCAGGGGCGGGCTTGGGCAGGGCTCAGAGCCCTGGATGGGTAGGTTTGCCCCCGTAGGTTCCCGCAGGCTACCTGTGGGACAAGAGGCTGGGGGGCCAGTGACAGTGCTGGGGGTGTTCCATTTGCTGTCCCCTCCAGGGGCGGGCTTGGGCAGGGCTCAGAGCCCTGGATGGGTAGGTTTGCCCCCATAGGTTCCCGCAGGCTACCTGTGGGACAAGAGGCTGGGGGGCCAGTGACAGTGCTGGGGGTGCTGGCCAGGCTGTGTGGGGCCTCATCTGTACTGGCAGTGGGGAGGAGACCAAAGCCCTGTACCGTGGTGTCTGTGGGGGCTGTAGTGGGGAAGATGTCACTGTGTGGGCTCAGCTGGGCTCCAGGTTTCCCAACTTAGCCCTGGGAGCGCCAGACGTGTCCTCTGGGCCCCGAGCAGGTGCATGCGCCGAGAGCAGATGAGTTCCAGCTGCCTTTAAAGCACATCAACTTCTCCTCTTAGAAATAAACAGAGAATGCACTTTGCTTTGAAGAGTTTGCTGCAGGAGGCACAGAACAACCTGAAGATATTCAAGGTAAGAGCTGCTTCCGTTTTATGGTGGTTTCGGGGTGGACCTGCCGTGCACTGTTCCAGGTGACAGGGTTCAGGTGACGCACAGATGAGTGCGTCCAGGCTGGGCTGCCTCGGGCCTGGTCCTCCATGGCTGATGCGTCCCTTGTGGGTCCTTCCGCCCTGCTGTCCACACAGTTGCTCCACCCATCAGCTCAGACCTTTTTTTGAGCCCTGTTCCACAAGCACAACAGCCAAGTGACCCTGGGTTGTCTGTGGCCCTAGGATATGTGACATCGAGGCCTCTACCTCTGCTGGGTGGCCTCTGTCTCCCCCGGCCTGCAGATGGGTGAGCCCTGGATGAGGACGGTTCTGACAACACCCTGGGCTGGCATTCTGCCCCAGGGTTGCTGAGGCTGCAGGGGTGCCTGGCCTACTGCTGGCACTGGTGTCAAGAAGAGAAGATGGGGCCAGGCAGGGGATGGGCAGGGAGAGAAACTGAGAGAAAGGAAGCTGAGCAGGTTGGGGTATCAGCAGGGGAGAAGCTGGTGGAGGGAGGGGACATGGTGGGGGGCAGGGCTGGCTCCATGGCAGTTGGGGTCTGTGTCTCTGTTGGAGATGTGTCCCTTATCCCCATTGTCATCACCCAGCCCCAGTCCTACCCTCATGAACCGTCACACGTAAGTGACATCTGGGGACAGGGTCTCAGGCTCCCTGCAGGCTCTGGGTCTACGAGAGGAGGCAGGGTCATTGCATGTGGGCTTCCGACTCCCTGTGCCTTGGTCTGGACTAGGTGACTGGTTTGCTGGGTGCTCTCTCCTCTCCTTGCTGCCATGTGTGGCCGGTGCCCTGCTGCCCATTGACACCCTTCAGGAGTGAGTGGGGCGGAGCCTGTTGTCCACCTGCTTCCCTGATCTGGCTCAGAAATCCCGTTGTCCCAGCCGCTGGTCAGAGTGAATGGACTTTATTCCCTGTCTGCCTCCATCTGCCCAAACTCAGAAAAGGAAGTGTATTTCAAAGCCAGTTTTTATTTTTTACTTTTTAAAGAATTTATGGAACTTGATATTTAAGTTCTGAAGATAAATCCCTTTCATCTTGGGAATTGGTTGGAAGCTGGTAGTGAGGTTGCACATTCTGTCCCAAGAAGACCCTTTCCTGACCCCCATCAGGCCCACACGCAAGGTCCTGGGGTCTGGGACCCTGGCTGTCTGCTACTCTTGTTAAATCAGCATGGAAAAACCCAGAGGATTAGTGAGTAGTTTCAAAAGAGATGGATTAAATGACATGGAATGGCTTTTTAGAACAGCAGGACAGTAGCACATTATCTGTCATAAGTACCACCGATGCCCACGAGTGGCTCAGGCCTCCCACCATCCTGTTGGGTTTAACATTCTAACCCAGCAAAGCAGAAAACAGTGCACTGACGTTCCAGGTGTGGAGAAGCTGCCTGGGTCATGGTCAGTGACCATGCGAGGGACACGTGGTAAGGGATGTTGGGGGCTTGGGGGGGTGGACACTGTCACAGAGCCACCACCCTGCCATCTGGTCAGTGGCTCTGCTGAACGCCACACGAGGTTCTTGAGTGGCATATTTGTGTGGGAGTCACTGTCCACCTGGACTCCACATCCACACTGCCCTTCACATCAGAACCCTGGCTGCGGGGTGAGGGCCCCCAGCCTCCCGTGGCCTGGAGGAGAGGGGCTGGCCTCCCCATGGGCCCTGCGCCCTGCCCTGGGCCTTGGCCTGCTGCCCCCAGTCCAGCCCTGCTGTCACCCCTGCTCCTGCCCAGAGTGGCCAGTGGTCTCAGTTGTGTCCCAATTATCCTTTAGGCTCCAACAGAGCCCCAGACAGGGGACTCCCAGGAGAGGTGCCACAGGACCCAGTGACGGAGGAGAGTCTGTCCACACCTCTTGAGTGCAGAGACTGTCCTCATCTGGATCAGCGACTGCTAATTACCCCAAAGCTTAGCTCAAAACAACCTCCCGTCAGCTCACAGTTTCTGAGGCCAGGAGCTGAGAAGCAGCTTAGCTAGTCCTGGCTTGGTGGCCTCAGTCCTGGCCTCATGGGAATTCTCATGGAGCTGCTCAGTGTGGCTGCCGTGACCCCACAGGAGAGTGACCAGGGTGGAACCACAGTGCCTTCTCTAGCTTAATCTCGCAGGGGATGTGCCGTTGCTCTGCCTATGTTCTGTTGGTCACACTGACCAGACCCCGTGTCGGGGGTTCTTCAAGCTGTGTGAGGAAGCAGGGGCCACTGGGGCTGTGTTGGCCACACGTCACAGTGATGAACAAATAAGGTTCAGAAGGATGCCGCACTCTCCTAGGGTCGGCTGCTGCTTGGGGCCCCCAGAGCCCCATAAAAGTCATGGTATCGGGCCCACTGGGTGGCAGCAGATGTCCCTGCCTGTGCCCTGGGAACATTCCAATGTGAACCTCGATGCCATAAGGAGTTTCTCTGCTGGGTTCGGTTTAAGAAGGCAGGACGTTCTCCAACATGGAGGTTTCCATGACTTGACACCCGCGGGTCCCAGCTCAGAGGCTGCGTCTGCCCAGCACCAGATGGCCCTGAGCCCGGCCCTGACCCGGCCGACCGCTGTCCTCGCGTTGGGAGTCTGTCACTTTGTGCTGAGCACTGGCTCGCGGATCGCAATGCCGAGGGGTGTTGTGAGGCCGGGGCGCTGGTCTTCAATTTTTGAAACTTCCTTTCCACATTGAGTAGGATTTGCCTCGTGGCTGATAACGTGGCATGGGAGGGCGGGTGCCCCCGAGGGCTGGAGGGTGCAGGGACCCCAGGTGGGGGGACCTTTACTGGGGCCCGCCGGCCGCGGGGACCGAGGTGTCCGCCTGCGCTGGCTGGGCTGACGCCCTCTCTCTCTCCCGCGGAAGAACGGCGAGCTGATCTACGGCTGCGGAGACGCGCGGAGCCCCGTGGCCGACTGGAGCGAGCTGGCGCACCACCTCAAGCCCTTCTTCTTCCCTTCCAACGGCCTGGCCGGCGGCCCGCAGTGCGCACGGGCCGTGGTCCGGGAGCTGGTGCGCGTGGTCGCGCGCGTGCTGCTGAGCGGCGCCGACAAGGGCTGGCCCG